GGATTTGTTATCGTACTAGCTGAGGAAACAGCTCGCACGACAACAGACTTCCAGATCAAAGGAAACATTATACACTGGAGTTCAACAAAGTGCAAGAGAGTCACACGAAGCGTACTTGCAAGCGAGTTGTACGGGATGACCACAGGATTTGATAGTGGGATATCCCTTAGTACGACACTCACCAAGATCCTTCATACATTACAACTCCCAAGGATTCCAGTTATCATCTGTTCAGACTCACGATCTCTGTACGAGTGCCTCGTACGACTAGGCACAACAGATGAAAAGAGGCTTATGATTGATATTATGAGTCTACGTGAGTCGTACGAAAAGAAAGAGATCTCAGAAGTGAGATGGATTAATGGGAAAGATAACCCTGCCGACGCCTTCACCAAGAAATCGCCAAACTCAGCACTTGGACAATTGATTACAACAAACACATTAAGGATTCGAATCGAGGCGTACGTTGAAAGATTAGGAGAAAACACTTGACAATTAATTCGTACGACCTCACCGCCGTACGTAACCAACTATCTGAAAACGAAGTGTAACCTCAAGAAGGTATCTGATATACCTGACCACTACCAATGCCGATCTCAATGTCGGATCGTACCTCCACCATATCCACAACCTTCCCGAATTACCATATCGTGCAATCCATCTGATTGTCGTACGAGATTTCAGGGAAGAGAAGTTGTGCGATTACTCCTTGTCGATAACCATGGGGCTGGCAGAAGTGCCAAGGAAGCGACCGCCCTTGCCGACGTTCTTGCCAAGCTTGCTGCCAGGCGTACGAGGCTCACGAGCATTGGTGACGTTGGGAGCCTTGTAGTTGCTGGGGCCGCCGTTGTCATCATCGTCATCATCATCGCCCGGGTTGTCGGACGAATCAACATCTCGACCGCGGTGGGTGCAGCGAGCGCCGTGCGACTGCTAGACGCACTCGGCGCAGGCGCCACCCTGAAAGGTGGGAATGCGGGTGCACTGGCGGAAGCGCGGGGAGTCAGTAGTCGCGCATTTATTGCCACAGGCAATGGCCGCACGACCACGAGACTGAACCAAGACCGCAAGGAAGTAGCCCTGGCGGCGGATGATGCTGGCAACAAACTGCTGGACAGAAGTGTTGCTAGTGACGCGGATCTCGATATCGCGCGACGGCATGTTGATGATGAGACGCTCCTCATCCTGCAGTCAAGGTTAACGTACGAAGACAAGGTAAGGACAAAAGTAACGTACATTGATGGCCAGAGCCAACAGAAGAGCGCGATTGTTGGCGTTGCCAGTCGGAAGACGAAGCCAACGACCACCGGACGCATCGGTATGCATACCGATGTTGCCGAAGATCGAACCACCGGTGGCAGCGAGAGACATGATGGATTGATCGTGCGAGGTGCTACTGATGAATCAGTAAGAGGAAACGTACGAGAGGAAATCCTACGTACAAGTAGTTGTTGTTGGAGTTGATTGAGGAAGAAGGGGAAGATCGTTGTTGATCGATTGTATGGGAAAACGACGCGTGCGAAGGGTGAAGAAGAAAAGAAAAGAGGAAAAGAAAAACAAGTGAGAAGGGTTTTAAATACCTAAGGTTGCCGTACGAAGGAAGGAAGGTACGTTAACAGCAGGAGCAGAAGTGAAGTCAACGAGGAAGGAAGGAACTTCACCAACACGTGGCTTGCCTGCTCAACCAGGCAAGAAGGGAATGGACAGTTGCCTGGAGTTTTGATATTGGTGATTTATCGTACAACGCAAGTGGCCTAACCCACAGGGTTGTACGATGAGGTTATTGATGTCACAATCAGCGCAACCTGATTGGACACCGCAGGGAGTCGTGCAGTCACAAAAGAAAAAGTTGTGAGTGTTGGAATAACAGCACCAGCTGGTTGTACGACACGCACGACTCAGGGACACACATCATGGCAGAGGGCACAGACTGGATATTCGGCTCTCGGTTATCCATTGAGGGGATCAAAAGTATATTCATGCCGAACTGACTCAGGGACGTACGAGATCATATATCTTGTGTACGAAAGCCAAGTCTTGTAGTTAGGAAGATAATCACGGAAAATACATCTTTGGTTCACCCTAACTTTAACCCGAGTACGATCGTACAAACGGGTTCTCTCAGGAAGAGAGAATCCATTCAACACCAACATATATTAATCCAGTTATTTTCGTATTGAATACGATTAGCCCGAGATAAAAGTAATAAAGAGCAAGGAATGAGAAAAACGGATCATGATAGACGTAGATAAATTTTAATCCAATAATTGCTAAGGCCTTTTCGTTTCGACAACCATCAACTCATAGCCTATGGACTTTAATCCCCAGCATTGCCCGCCTCCACAACCGCACTTTCGCCTTTATGAGTCTGAAAAATGTTAGTCTTGATTTCATTTGGTCTCAGGATCAACTCTTCGAGGCAAATATATAAAGCAAGTACCAGAACCGGCATTAGGGAGCAAACAACTTTATGCTCACCGAGGTTTCCGAGTTTCAACCGGTCGGCCATCTACATGCCAGTAAATAGGGGCTCTTGTAAGGGGAAAAGACTTATATCTCACTTGATTATTTGCCCCCAAAAAGGCCGACCATCTTGCCTGATGGAACAAGCCATACATTCGTTCGTTCGAAGAATGACGTCGACTTACTCCTTTAACTCGTCTAATATCTGAGCACCATAACTTGGCAGAAAGAGCGCTGGCTGTTTTAGACAAAGACTTCAATCCTTTGGAGAAATTTAATCCTCATGATGTCGGCATAACTCTCAATGTTAGCAACCTCCAATCAGTGTCGAGAATTGCAAGCCTCAACGCTCAGAGCAACGCATTTTCCATCTATTCAATCGTCCCTGGCAACACTAGACTAAAAGTGCTTTAACGCAGTTTTCGATGCTCAGGCTTCAGATTAAGATTTAGATTCTACTGCTGCGAAGTACCAAGATGTCTTGGCCCTGATAGAACAAGAGAGTAATTAAGATGTTTGTGGGCCAGCGGGCAGAATTGGTTTACAGATAACTGGTGCAGTGTTAGACTCAAATCGGGTAAGATGAAGCTGCAAACAGATACTGGCGTCTTTTGAACGTCATGCAAGTTTGACTTCAGTTTGGTGGCGTCGAACTAACCATAATTACCAGTAACTAATTTTCAGCTACCAGCCGAGCGAAGCAAGTGAATCCAAGAATTTGGTTAGTGCACGACTGAGAAGTGACTAGTTTCTCCTAGATCGGCCTGTGTACCTGAGTCTAAATCCTGACGTTTGACTACTAGCCTTACAATATTGGAGTGCAGATTGGCATGAGGCACGTTCTCGTAGTAATGTGTTTGAAAAGCGCCTTTTCTTAGTCACCGCAAACAGCTGCGCGGCGTTGGTAGTGGAAATCTTATATCTTATCGAGTTGATATAGTTTTCGTGCTTTCACAATCGTACGTAAAGTTTTACAATTCCATCGCGATGATATTATTCTTTGTGTTGGAATAACAGCACCAGCTGGTTGTACGACACGCACGACTCAGGGACACACATCATGGCAGAGGGCACAGACTCGATATTCGGCTCTCGGTTATCCATTGAGGGGATCAAAAGTATATTCATGCCGAACTGACTCAGGGACGTACGAGATCATATATCTCGTGTACGAAAGCCAAGTCTTGTAGTTAGGAAGATAATCACGGAAAATACATCTTTGGTTCACCCTAACTTTAACCCGGGTACGATCGTACACACGGGTTCTCTCAGGAAGAGAGAATCCATTCAACACTTTGTGTTTTACGTTAACATATCTTGGAATCACTGTTTGTTATCAGGAAAGATTTGTTACAAGACGCTGATAAATTACGGCAAAACGCGTCGGCTTAGTGTCGCTGTTCTCATCCTGGCTGGTACCACTGTTAACGCAGTTGATCTGAGGGAGATTTACGAAGGCGGGTAGAATTCCACGACGTTGCCTCTCCTTCTGAAAATTAGCAATGGTGGTGCTGGACAGAGTGGGCTCGTGAAAGGTATGCATACATGACCCAAGGCTTGAGCTATCAACCATAACAATGGTGTATACCAGTTTTAGTAGATGCGTTTATCCAAGAGAGCGTCAACAACGGCTCGTCACCGTTCCGCGTAGGCTGGGTATTGGGCGACACAACCTTCACGATTAAGTACCTACAAAGCGGCGACGCCGACGTAGGAATCACGTACAGCGCGGCTGCCGAGAAAAATGCTGGAAATCAGGATATCGTGGACCCAGAGATATACTATATCTTCCGCGATCATTTTCTCATAACTGACCCTCCGGAGAATCCCGCCAACATTAACTCGTCCATGGAGATAGTTGCTCTCTTTGCCCAGCTTTTTGAAGCCGCTGACCTCGCCAACACAACCATCCCCACTCGATTCTTGAGTCGTTACGACAAGTCAGCCACAAACATCAAAGAGTCAGAGTTGTGGCTTGGGATTGGTCAGGTGGGCAAAACGCTGTTCTTCAGTCATTTGTCATCATTTGTAACCAATCGTCAAACTCGAAATGACTTTAGTTTCTCCTGAAAGAATATGCGTTGACAGACCGGGGTACCTACCTGTCGCTGGACAAAGCGTTAGTAAACCAGACCATCATCTACAAGGCGGCAACAGACGACGAAACAGACATGCTACTCAACCCTGCTCACCTGCTTATCGGCAGGAAGGCTAAGAACCTTACGATGGCCTACCAGTTCGCCAATTGGTGTGTAAGCAAGAACGGTCAAAATGTCATTACTGACTTCAAGAAGAATGGGGAGCAGCTGTATAGTGGTGCTCCATGACTGAACAGTTTTGCTAGGAAAGTTTGTTTCCGCTATTATATTAGCTCACATCTGATGAAGAGAAATGAACTGAAACGTTTGCGGTCAGTTGTATAAAGGTGCCATTGGCTTTTATAATATTGCCAAGAGTGACCAGTCAGTGACACAGGATATACATTCACTACCCTGACTGGTTAGAGTGTACTCTCGCTACAGGATTAATGGGTGTAATCAGAAATCTTCAGCAATGACGTCGAGAGCCTCGGTTGCCTGCTTGAACTCCTCCTCGCTCCATGGAACCGCCTCTTCTGGCAGAACAAAACCTGAATAAGACTGGCCAGCGTCTTGAATCAAGGCTTCAATACCAGGTCCGTTGGTAAAAGTGATTGCCCTCATAAAACGGCTGCCGTAGTCGAGTGTAAACGCCTGGCCTGCTGAGACCAAAAGAGTTTGCCCCTCTCTGACCTCGGTCCAAGTGCCAGACTCCTTTAGCTTGACTTTCAACAAACCTTCCTGGACGCAGAAGCAGTGGTCCACTGTCGAGAACGTCAACCACCTCGCAAGAGGAGACTTTGCGTACAGCTTCGAGGACTCAAGACTTGTGATTGAGAACTTGCCGCTGCATTGAGAGGCATTGATAAATGGCCGCGAAAGTACCCCGCCAAGGATGTATCTGGGTCCGGTGTTGGCGCGAAGGAAGTAGGGCTCCAAAGGACCGGGGAGGACATTTTCTGACTCTTGCCAATCGGCGAGCTCAGGCGGGGTGTAGTTGCGCTCAAAATTCACGTCGAATCGGTCCTTCGCTGCCATGATCTTGGGATCAGAATGCTCTTTATGTCACGGTCATCGTGTTCTGGCACGATAAGGCCATTGTACTGCTCGCCGACGTATCTGAAGAAGTCGACCCAGTCACCCGGCGCAACCAAGCCCAGGGTCTCAGAGTGGGGGCCAAGTAGCTGGGGGTTGTGAATGATTTTCTACATCATGATCAGTCATTATTTTTACGAGCTACACAAACTCCGGAGACTCACAGGGGGGACATAGGCGAAGTCACCCGGTCCCATGATGCGACACTTGTCACCATTCCATAGCTTCAGGTAACCTTTTGTCACAAGGAAAATGTCGTGCGCTTCCGCGTGCCAGTGGAAGCCAGGAGCATCCGACAGAACAGCACCGCTTGAAAAGACGGCAATACCGCCGTTTGTCTGTTTGGACGAGGCCAAGATTCTGAAAGTTCCTTTGCTACCGGGGATCGAAATGCGCTCACCCTCAAGCTGGTCAATGATGTAGCTTGTTCTAGCATTGGGGGGAGCAGAGAGAACCGGAATGCTCATGACGGGCAGGTGGGTGCGTCCAATGAAGGAGGGGGAAAAGAATGCTTGTTTCCGTTGAAGAATGTGGCGTGGGAGTGGGTTACCTGAGGGGTCCAGTTCTCGAACTTGAACACAATTGAGCTGAACAGTTTGGAGTGGCTTTTGATGCTGCAAAGATAAGTCGCCGTTGCTTCCGAGATGCAAACAGCGCCGGCCCAGCCTTTTACACAGCTTCGATCCCCCGCATTTTGAAGCTATGAGGGTCCGACGGGAAACTGTCTGGCGCCGCCCGCCCCGCCGGGACCACTTGTTTCGTCGCGCCATGGAGACCGAGTTCGGCCATTTGGCCGCTACACTAATATTTTATTCACAGTCGACTCTACCTCACCTACACACTTCTCACTCTACTACTTAATAATCCAAATTCTAAATACTAACGAAACCGCTTATACTGTCCAGTGATCTCAAATTCACCCTACGTTGTTTTTTACCTCCTAGATTCTTCCCGTTTTGTTGACTTATTGTCTTTCAAATCATCAGCGACGTAAGTTAGTTTACATGGGGAAAATGTTAGTGTATCCTTGTGGGGCAGAATCTATGAACGCTGACCCCGTTCGGCTTGTCAGTGCGGGATGTCGGAAAATCCGACAACCCAGAACACTTTCCGATACAACATCGGAACTCCCGCTGTTTCGACGTTGGCGCTTACCACGCGGTCCACTGCCGGAAGCCCGGCTCGGTGAGAGATTCCAGCGAGCTTCAAAATACACTGCAACCCCGTTGAGCTTTCGCCACGCTATCCATCTAGGTTGTCCCCGTCACAACATTACCCCGAAACGCTTACAGCTACATCTGCAATTCTTTGCGTAAGCTACCGTATCGTAGAGAACACCCTTCAACGAATCACTTCGATCAACAACTTCATCATGGCAAGCCCAACCTCTTTCCGAGCGGTATACAAGTCCTTAGGGCAACAAGAGATTGATGTGGATGTCTACCTGCCTAAACCTAGCCAAGTGCGCAAGGCAACACAACCAGTTGGTATGCTTTCTCTTCAGAACCCTGGCCTGATCTGCCAGAGTAACTCCGGGCTAACGGGGACTTTGTACGTAGTCATCAACATCCATGGAGGGGCCTTCATGCTCGGCTCGTCCAAAATGGTCAATAAAGACCAGGTAGCGGACTGCCTCGGTAGAGGATGGATTGTTCTAGCGCCTAACCATCGTCTCTGCCCCCAACTCAGCCTCTTGGATGGTCCCATGCGAGATTGCCGTGACCTTTTAGCATGGGTACACGACGGCGGACTCCAAAATGTCCTTGACACTAGGAAGGAGGGGTCGTATGCAGTTGACACCGATCATGTGTTCTCTTTTGGCACGTCTTCAGGTGGCACTTTGTCTCTCAGCTTGGTACGTTTATGCATGTATGCTACACACGAACGATTGTTCGGGACTAGGGCAATTAAGTGTTCAATGCTAACAGGATGACCTCAACCTAGGGCTTTGATGTTCCGCGACCAGTAGCCGGCATCTACGATATGTACGGGCCTAGTGATTTCACCCACCCCTTTTGGGAGAAGCCTTTGCAACAAAACCTTGCCAGGCTACCCCTTGGGTTGACTGACGACTTTCTGCGCAAAGTCTTCGATGAAGACCCAGTCCCGATCACAGGAGGCGTCTCCCTCGAAGGCCAAGCCCAAGGGCCGCCCAATTTTAATGATCCAAGACAGGCCTTTGCATTGACACAAATTGCCAAAGGCAACGTCATGAGTACTATCGTCCCCGACAAGAAGTGGAAATTGGTTGACCCCATCAGAAACATTACCCCTTCCTTTCCGCCTACCTTCATTGTACATGGCCAGGAAGACACCCAGGTACCGCTTTTCCTTAGCGAAAGTCTGATCAAGGTGCTGAAGGAAAATGGAGTAAAGTCAGAATTGAGGGTGATTCCGGGAGAGGAACATACTTTCGCTGCAAAGATGAAGGTGGGATCCGAGACTTGGAATCTCCAGCGGGGAGGATTCGATTTCCTGGAAAGCTTGATCAAATGAACATAGCATACCGGACATCGGCACAATAGTCAGGGTATTTAGTGCAAGACGATACTTGGAATCACCATGAGCTTAGAATCTTGTTGGCGAGCGCATACCTCTAGTCTCATCCCTGCAGAAGCCTAACATCCGTATCGTCGTGAATAATTGCATCGCCGCAGGATGCTACGCTAAAGTTCAGACGATTCGAAACTCAACATGTCCCACAGCCCTCGGATGATCATTGTGCTACTCGGTTGAACTGCCAGCGAGCGGGTCGCTCAGGAACACGAACAAACATTGATAACACAAAAAATCAACTGGACTCCAGGAAGCGCATCATGCGCCCTCTTACACGGGAGTACGAGCCAAGCGCAATGGATAATCAAGCCCCTTGCTAGGTCCATATGCCGAAACCAATGAAGTTAGCACCATCCGGGGACCCCGCCACCCCAGACTACTGAAGAAAACCTGGGGTGCAGCCGGGAACTCCGATCCTGGCCCGGATCGCTTCCGGCCAGCGTTACAGAAGTCAGCAGTGACCAATATCCCAAGAGTCGGGGAAATTGCGATATAATCTTTCCGTTAGATATCAATCGACCCGCCGTTTGAGTTTTGGCATCTGCAGACCCTCGCACATACCGACTCCTGATCGGCAACTTCAAATACCGATATCCCGTACTTGAGAGCAAGGCTTCCGAGCACCTCGCAAACCTCGACCACTTTGAGTGTGCATTACGCCGGAACGTAGGCACATTCGAAAGAACTCGGGTCGGCTTTACTAGTTCGCCGACGACAGCGAATCGGGGTTGACCACCAGTCGTACCTAGTGTCCTTGACGATGGACTCACTTCGCGATGATACACGAAAGGATGATGGCGTTGTGGATAAAATCTACGTGCAGCACAACGAGGAGGCGTCGCGGGAGGCGGACCGCCAGATGAGCCCGTGGCAATGTCTTCGCCAAAACCCCAAGATTGTCCTCTGGACTCTTTATGCCAACAGCAAGTTGACCATCTAGTTGTCTATCTCATCATGGCTAACCTTGGTAACAACTCAGTCGGTTCAACTCTTGTTGGCTATGAGAATTTGGCCCTTTCCGTATGTTTGGCAATGCCGGCATTCCAGTAAGTGCCCGCACAGCACTACCATCCCATCACCCGGACTTTGGCTGACCATTGGCTCCTTTACAGAATGACATTTGCCACTGAAGTCAATGGGCAACTGATTATCCCAGCCTACTGGCAATCCGCCTGGAGCGCCATGTACAACGTCATGATGGTTTTTGGCTCATTCACTGCGGGATACATGCAAGATCGGCTCGGCCGTCGGTCTGTCCTCCTGCTGGCCTCGATTGTGGCTGCCACAGGCATCGCCATAAGCTTTGTCTCGGAAACTCCTCCCCAGTTCCTTGGCGGCAAGATTGTTACCGGATTCTCTGTTGGCTTGTTCACAACAACTACACAGACATATGTGTCTGAGATCGCGCCCCTGCCAATCAGAGGTATTGCACTTTCCGTCAACACCATTATGATGGTAAGTTTAGGACTACACTCAGCTAGCGCGACCCAAGTTCTGACGAACATGCATAGAACCTTGGTCTTCTTCTTGCCATCGCCACGAGTTTCTCTCGTGTTGCCATCATGGACAAGTCCGCCTTTCGCGTTGTCTTCGCCGCGGCTTGGGCGTTCCCTGGCATCATTGCCGTCGGCCTTCCCTTCATCCCCGAGTCGCCCACATGGCTAGTCTTCAAGAACAGGCACGACAAGGCCCGAAAAGCTCTCGAACAGCTCTCCGGTCCCTATGAGAACGTCGAAGCCCGTCTAGCCCAGATCATCGACAATGTAGAGACCGAGCGCCGGTTGCAGCTCGAGGCCGCCTCCTTCGCCGAGTGTTTCAAGGGGACCAACTGGCGCCGTACGCGCATTATTCTGATCTGTTTCTACATACCCCAGGTGATCGGTGCCGTTCTCTCGTCGAACGCTCCCTACTTCCTCAATCAGACGGGTCTTTCTAGCAGTACGGTCCTCATGTTGGTGCAAGTAGGCATCGCGGCCGGTGTCATCTCGGCGCTCTTGAACGCGTTTATGATGATGAAGTTCCGCCACCGCCCGCTCATGTTCTTCGGCGTTGGCATATGCGTTGCCATGTACTTCACTATGGGCGTCGCCGCCGCGTTTCCCAAGACTAACACGTCGCTCCTGGTCATTGGCGTCGCGCTGGTGTTCACCTCCATCTCCTATGGCCCGGCTGTGGGTGCGTCGATGGCCGTGGCCGGTGAGGTTTCCGCGTCAAAACTCCGTGCCAAGTCCCTCGGCATCGGCGTGGCCTTCTCGTCCATTGTCTCCACCATCTGGACCATCGTCCTGCCGTACCTTTTTAACGTCGACCAGCTCAACATGGGCGGACATATAGGCTGGATATTCTTCGTAATGGGAATTTTGATGTTGTTTGTGCTCTACTTTGATGTTCCGGGCACCAAAGGTAGGACATTTGAGGAGCTGGACATCATGTTCGAGTTGGGCATTTCGGCGCGCAAGTTTGAAAAGCACAAGCTCAATGAGGGGCTTGTGGATACTAAGTGAAGTGGATATTCTTATGCAGGAGGTTTTTGTTTTTGTTGAGCTATGAGGTACAAAACTTGTTTTGGTAGAGTTGCAAATCGCTGTTGGCGGGTCTCGCCGCAACCGCTTTGGGTCCTTGTGTGCTACATGTATTGAGCTGCATACCCAGCAAAAATTTCCATGATTTGCTGCGTGATACAAACCTTCTGCATTGTTGCAGTGATTTCTGTGTGTTTTCGGCCCTTTGAATCAATGCGTCGTCGGCGGCAAAACCAGCATGAAAGGAAAAAAACCGGATTTCCCGACATTGCCGGTAGGTGGAGAGTTCAAGTGGCCCCGCAGAAGGAAGTCTTTCTTAGTAATCAAAGTGGTTTGCCCATCAACAAGAACAGTTCCATTCTGTGATCGGAGGAAGCCCCCCAATCAAGGGGACGAGATGAAGGAATCTACCATGTTCGTCCGATATGGGTTCTGTTTCAAGAGCCAAGGCTGGTTGGTATTTGAACGTTCTGATGAGTTGTGGCTGTTCCCCTGAAGCATCAGCTCCCCCCTTTTCGTGTGCGACTCAGCTGCGTTACACTACTATAGTAGGTACTGTGCTTGCATTTCGATCCATTGTAAACTGTTGCGGATGGACCCGGCTCGCTTGTGAAGTCTTGTTCAGTACATCCCAAGGTTCAGATCTCTATGACAAGAAATCTCCCGAGACGAAGAGACTAGGGCTTTTGGCCAACCTTACGGATGTATCGATGCTCCAGAAGACACATGCAACCTCGATGAAGAATGCCTCAATCTTCGTGCCTGACAAACGATTGAACCCCACCAAAACATTCCCCGCATCTGCTTGCCGTCCGCTACCCTTGTGCGGGGGCGGAGGTCGATCCTTAGCGCGCGTTCACACATTCTTGTGGCACCGCAAGTGTTTCGGATGCACGGCGACAACAGCTCTTCACCCTTTCTGCATATCCAGCTTCTCCATCTTCACCCGCCCCCCCATTCGCGATATCCAACGACAGCAAACGGGTATTACGATACTGAGCCGTTGAAGACCTGAATCTGGTCTCATAGTTGTTCCTACACCTTCTCTTCAGCCTGTTTCCTCTTTACCTATGGACGTTGGCGCAGAGACCCAACGCACCGCGCAGAACTCGGGGATCAAGGTCCGCCGCCCCCGGGCCGCCAGAGCATGCGACCTTTGCAGGGCGAAGAAGAACAAGTGCGATGAGTTGTATCCTTGCACGTATTGCAAGAGTATGTTTGTGAAAACTCCGGCGCATAAAAATGCCTCATTGGAGGTGCCTCAAGGCTAACACGGCTAACCCCAGATCGAAATGCGACATGTGTTTACAAAGGCCAGGACATGTCAAGGAGGCTATACACTCCAGAGTATGCACGCCTAATTCAATTCCAAACGTATCCGTGGCTTACCTTGTTGACTCTCTTTAGATATGTGAGACAATTGGAAGAACAGGTCAAAAGCCTCTCGGCCATTGCCGAATCTGTCAAGGCTCAATCAACAGATGACAATGCTTCGGTTACCGCCACTGCTCCGGGGATTTCTGACGGGTACTCGCCAGACTGTAGTCTCCAGCGACGACCATCACGAAGCACGGCAGTGGGTTCACCCTCAAACACTCGGTCAAGGAATGCAGCCGGCCAAGAAATTTCTGGCGTCAACCGACACACGCGCAACGTCGAGTTCTACGGCAGCTCATCCTCCGTCGCCCTGTTGTCACATGTTCAAAGAAATGGCGAGGAACCTGTGATCTCACCGGACCTAGATTCCGACGCCGGGACTCTACTGTCGAATCTTCACAACCCCGCCTTCTCGTCTCCTTCTGCGGACCCAGGGCGAACTCCCGCTGCTGGGGCCGAAGCCAGCTCGTTTTCCCGGCCAATAACACATTACCCGCAATGCCGGCATTTTTTGCAAAGCTTTTTTTCCAGTATACACTATGTCCATCCAATTCTCGACAAGAAGATATTCTTCGACCGGTGTGAGGAGCTTTGGTCGAAGCCGCATGTCGCTAGGGAACCATCGAGCTTCATTGCGCTGTACTACAGCATCTTATCCCTGGGCGCACTCACTGGCGTTCGAGAAGATGAACCAATAGATGGGATTGAAAACCTCCAATGGAGCAGGAAATTCTTTGATGAAGCGAAAAGACGGTGCGATCAGCTGGGGATGGTCACTGACCTAGAGATGGTCCAGTGCTACTTTTTTCTCGTGAGTTGATCTAGACTGGTTCAAGTTGCTCATGGCACTGAAACGTTATCAAAGTCAAAAGTGTGCCAGAACGAACTAAATGCTCACTGTAAGCGCCTCTCCCGGTTCGCCGTCGAGGACTCTCCTAACCGGGATTTGTGTAGGGGCGTATATGTACGTTGGGCTCGCCGTGAGAACAGCGCTTGCAATGGGCATCAACCGAGAACCTGGACCGGATGTGAAAAAGGAACCAGCTCAGCTCAGAGCAGAATCAAGAACGTGGTGGTAAGAAAGCCGAGAGAATGCGGAAGATGTGATGGTGCTAACGCTCCTAAGGGGTTTATATTCGCTAGAGACGTAAGGATCAGGCGAACGCCGACATGGAGAGTCGAGTGAGATTCTAACTCTTCGTAGGGAAATGTCCTTCGCCATGGGCAGACCAGATACACTTGGCGCAGATCTCTACCACAATCGCCTGTTTCCAGTGATTGGGGAAACGGACACTGAATATTCTGGGAGCTCAGAACTCGTGGATCCGCCATCGTGTGCCATCATCAAGTGTATGGTGGACTACTCAAAGATCATCAGAAGTATCTGCCTGGGGATATATCTACCAGAGACGACAGTTCCGAGAACAGTCCATTTGGCACATCAGATCGATCAGGATCTTCAACGATGGGCCGAGAACATGCCAGAGTCGATTCGTCCAACAACCTCCGTTGAACCCCGCTCGCTGAAAAGCGTCAAAGAGGCGCAGTGGATGAAGAGACAGAAACTGGTATTGACTATGCGTGAGTGGAATTATACCATCGGACGGATCTTTTACCGTGGTTGACACGTTTTTAGGCTTCCTCAACATAAGGATCCTTCTTTTTGGATCAATAATTCTCACATCTACATCTGCTGAGCGAGCCTCCATCCCTGGCTCACAGGAAGGCATCCACCTGTGTCTTGAATCTGCGAAGCAAACGATTGAAATCATATACCAAACTTACCAGCATCACGATTTCTTTAGGACTTGGTACGTTGTACCGCAATGTCAAGGTCACATCGCCGAACTCAGGGTGAACTAACAACGAAGCAGGTTCTACAACACAACATACACGGTTTTTGCGGCATCCATGATCCTAGTTTACGTAACGCAAGAAGCGACGGAAGCGGAAGTGCAACCGCTTCTCAAACTGGTAGGAATGGCCATTGAGATACTGGAAACCATGGATGAGTGTGTCGTCGCGTTGCGGTCTGCCAAGTTACTCCACAAGGCCATCGAAAAGGCGGAAAAGAAGTTTTCAGCTTCAACGCCGGCTGCGCTGCAGATTCCGGCGATGCCACCAGCGGACGTTATGCTTCAATTGAATCACTATTGGGGACCGTTGAACATATTGGATAACGAGATGGACTTTGGGTTTGCAATGCAGTTCGCGGACTTTGAGGGGACTAATTCATTATTCATGGCCCTTGATGATCCAAGAACAATGCAGTAGGATGTTGAGGAACAAACTTGACATCAAAAATACATAATGCACAGACACTTGCGCAACCGTACGTTAACAGAATTCCTGCAATCATGGCATCGTCTGTGTTTGTGGTGTTCTGCCCGATTCCACCCTGGTGAAGTGGAAGAGGGCTGGCAACGTCCCGAGATATTTCCCACCAAGATGGCGAGATCAGGTGACACTTGAAGACGTGTGCAGGCGAAAGAAGTGCCGGCAAAACCTACCACGAACGCTTCCTTCGCCTTAGGCTTTAAATAACTTTGCAGCATACAACTCGGACACTCCTCGTGACGCTAAAAAGCCGACGCTAGATGGGGAACCTCTCTGCATAGGGCGTCCCGGAAAAGCCGAAACAGTCATCGCGGGATGTGGGGTTTCAGAGAGTGGGCAGAGACCGATCTCGTGGGGAGATTCCGGGGTCGGGCAGATCGGTAAAGTTTTGGACCGAGTTTGCATCACCACGTGGGGAACCCTAGCTGTTCGAATTTTGGAGTTGACGATGTTTTTGCAATAGAACAAGAAACAAAGCAACCTGTTTAAAAGTGATCTACAAAACTCAAAGACATCCTTGATGTTGAACTGCCAATCACCAGCATCGTTAGAGCAAGTCAACGCAGAGCTGCTCCCGACACAGAACCGAAAAGAGATTTTGACAGTACGACACCTTCGTTTTCGTAAGCACTGCCATGGGATCTCAGGTCGACGATAGAGATTTCAGGTCTCTGCTTCCCGAGCTCTCTCTGGAGGAAAAGGTTGCCCTTCTCTCGGGACGGGACTTTTCGACGGCAGCAGGCGTCCCTCGATTGAACATTCCTCCCATAAAGGTGTGTTTTCATCACAGATCACTTTCAGTCAGAAGCTCACCTTCCATTTCCAGGTTGCGGACTCTATCGCAGGCGTCCGCCCGTCCGGGCTCACAGCTGATGCGACAACAGCATGCTTCCCAAACAACGCTTGCCTAGGTTCGACGTGGGACGCCGACCTGCTAGGCCAACTCGGCGAACAACTCGCATACCAGGCGCGCCAAAAGAGCGCGCAGGTTGTCCTTGGCCCGACGATCAATATCCACCGCGACCCTCGTGCCGGACGCAACTTCGAGTGTTTTAGTGAGGACCCGTTGCTGTCTGGACAGCTGGCGGGCGCAATCTGCAACGGCATCCAAAAACATGGTGTCGGCTCGTGTCCTAAGCACTTCGTGTGCAATGATTCGGAGACACTGCGACACTTTTACGATGTACAGGCATCGATTGACAGTCGGCCGCTGAGGGAGGTCTATATCGCTGCCTGGCAGCACTTGCTTCGGACGGCTAACCCGACGGGAATTATGACTGCGTAAGTCCTCGTGGTTCCGTTATTCTCGACCTCAGATGCTGACCTATGATTTGGTGCAGGTACAACAAAGTTGATGGCACATTTTGCAGTGAACATGCTCGCCTCATCGAAGGAATATTGAGAAAAGAATGGGGCTTCGAAGGCATCGTCATGTCCGACTGGTTTGCCGTGCACAACGTGGTCGAGCCCGTCAAGGCGGGCCTCGACCTCGAGATGCCATTTCCAGTGTTTAGGGGCAAGAGGCTGACTGCAGCTGTGCGGTCCGGCGAGTTGACCGAGGCCGAGATCGACGCCAGGGTGCTCAAGATGTTGGACCTCCGAAACCGCACAAGGACCTGTCATGGCGAGCGGCCTGAGAGATCAGAGGTCAATGAGAAGACGAACGAGCTCTCTAGGAGGCTCGCTGCAGGCGGGATCGTGCTGCTGAAGAACGAGAACGTGGCCCTTCCCCTAAACCCCTCAGACGCGCCAAAGATCGCCCTTATTGGGGAGTTTGCGGGCTCCCCCGTCGTGACCGGAGGTGGGAGTGCTTCGTGTACGCCGCAGTACCGGCACTCGCCATTCGAAGTCTTGAAAGAGACATTTCCTGGTGATGCTGTTCGTTACCATGCGGGGGTCCGAACGCGGCGGGTGATTCCTGTTGTACCTACGGCACAGCTCACATCGCAAGACGGTCGAAACGGGGTCGATGTCAAGTACTACAATGACGACTCGATGGAGCCGATATTGACCGAGTTCCAGGAGAAGGCCGAGGTCTGGATGTTGGGCGAGTTCAAGGCGGGGTTGAGAGTTCCCGGGTCTCATATCGAGCTTAGCGCTAAGTTGACGCCCGCTTCGACGGGAGAGCACACTCTTGCTGTGCGGACCACGGGTGATTTCTCTTTGACCGTTGACGGGAAAGAAGTCATCTCAGGGCCCCAGAAAGACATCGCCACGGAACAGTTTATCTTCAACCACGTCAAGCTCGAGACAAGAGCGCAGTTTCGAATGAGCGCAGGTCAAGCCTACGACATTAGGCTCATTAACAAGTCGTGGGACCACTTGGTGAAGGGCGAGCCGACTCCCTATGCTGCAACCATTTGCTTTGAGGAGTATCGCTCCGACGAGACGGCTATTGCGGAGGCGGTCGAGCTTGCGAAGGCGTCGGACGTTAGCATCATCTACGCCGGCCGCAACGAACAATATGAATCCGAAGGTTACGACCTGGAAGACATCCGCATGCCGGCGAACCAGACGGCGCTGATCAAAGCCGTAGCTGCGGCTTCGAAGAAGACCGTTCTAGTATTGCACTGCGGCAATCCAATTGACGTGAGCGCCGTCGTGGACGACGTCGATGCCATCCTCAACGCCCACTTCCCCGGCCAGGAGGGCGCGCGGGCGACTGCGGACATCATCGCGGGCATAACGAACCCGAGTGGGCGCTTGGCGACCACATGGTTCAAGACGCTGGAGGATGTGCCAAGCTTCGGCGACTTCCCGGCCACCAAGGCGGAAGATGGTAGCGTGCGGTTCCGTTACGCCGAGGGCTTGGGCGTAGGATATCGTCACCCTGAAGCTGCGGAGCGGGCGAGATGGGCGTTTGGATATGGGCTATCTTACACTTCATTCAGCTACTCTGACCTTGCCACGACTGTGGGAGGACCATCTAACAGTTCTAGGCTTCGAGTCTCCGTTAAGGTCATCAACACGGGGTCTCGTGCTGGAAAGGAGGTTGTGCAGGTGTTTGTAACGCCAGCTAAAGAGACGTCCGTCTGGAGACCAGCGCGCGAGCTGAAGGCTTTCAAGAAGGTCCTCTTGCAGCCCGAGGAGTCGAGAGAGATTGTTCTGGAGCTTGACATCAAAATAGCCTGCAGCTACTGGGATGAGGCGTCGAAGGCGTGGAAGCTGGAGAAGGGACTTTATGGCATTGAGATCGGAGGCTGCCAAGGGACCTTTTCGGTCGCTACGGGACTGGCCTGGAGAGGGCTGTGAAAATTTTCGTGGGTATTCAAGACACGGGTTGACCTATCCGGGATCCTCCTTCGGCTTAAATGAACAGGGACCTTGCAAGTAAGAAACATTCCTGACATGGAACATTGTATACAGCACTGACGTTGGCGACAGATTCCGCATTGCCGCTTTGAGAACTTTTGGGATTCTCAAGGTTTCTCAGGACTGGGATATTTGGGACACACCGTGATTTACCGCCATAGGCATGTGTGTTAAACATCACGTTGAATGCATTTAGGCGAGTCAATCCATCAAGTCGAGGGGGCAACTTTGTTCAAGTCCAGAAAAGCGTTTCCTACTAGGTCTAGCGAAAGAGGCTCAAAACAACCAGCTCACACAGCGACTCGTGATGAGAAAACTTAGTTGCCATCCCGTTGGGCTGTAACACGGCTTTGAAATTCCTGGTCTGATGCTTAACGCATAAATGTACCCTAGTTCAGGACACGGGAAATCCTGTCCAAGCTCTGGAAATAATCTGATTTGGTGGTGGAGGTTGGGAGGTGTGCCAGACGATGCTTGGGATTGATTTCAAGGTTTCCTGATCATCGATTACTCACTAGCCTCGGCAAGCTGCCATTGTTTACTCACCGAGTACCAAAAACTATAAAATACTTTTTGGTGACAAATCAATGCTCTGTTGCTTCGAGCGTTTCTTTGTCATGCGCTGTTTATATAAATTCTTTAATATGAAGCCCGCGGCTAACGTGGCCTTCGCTAATTCCCGACTCAAAGCCTTTACTCCACTAGTTTCTGGCTATTACAGCCACTACCTTGTATAATTGCAACCTCAAATCGCGATGGCTGCTCATTCCCCTCTAAGATTCGCTGTCCACGTGGCACCCCCCATTCCCTGTGTTGACTTTATCAACAACGTCAAGGAAGGAAATACCTGGTCGCCTATTTCATGCACCTTGGTATATTCAGATACGGAAGCAGTTCTTGTTGATACGCCAATCACTATTGAACAGACAAAAGGTTTAATTTCTTGGATCGACAAAGTTGCACCGAACCGCAAGCTTTCATACATCTACATCACTCACGGCCACGCTGATCACTTTCTGGGTATTTCGCAGCTGGTTCAGCGCCATCCTGGGGCGGTTCCTCTGGCAACCAAGGCCACAATCCAGCACATTAAGCAACAGTTGGAAGACGAGTACTTTCAAAACACCTGGGAGGCTTTTTTCCCAGTTGGCCAGATTCACAAGCCCATAACCCGACCGAAGCCTTTGCCAGACAGCAATGAATTCAAGTTGCAAGGCCGCTGGGTCTTCAAAGCGATCGAAGTAGGACACTCCGACACATATGACTCTTCTGTGCTCTGGGTACCAGACCTTAAGCTCGCAGTCTGTGGTGATGCCGTTTATGGCGAGGTCCATCAGATGCTCTTCGAAGCCAATACGAAGTCTAAGCGGGAGGAGTGGATTCGTGCCGTAGAGAAGGTTGAGGCGCTCGGCCCCGCATATGTTGTTCCAGGTCACAGAAAGGCGGAGGAGCCAGACGGCGTGTGGCATCTTGCGAACACCAAGATGTACCTCCTTAACTGGGGATATTTACTTCGGGACCGACCTAAGGACCCTCGGGAGCTATATGAAGCTATGATAAAGCTGTATCCTAACAGGTTTAACCGAATGCCCGTGCTTTGGAGCGCCAAAGCAGCTTTCCAAGCACCAGAACAGGCGAGGTTTTAGACTATAAGCCGTGTATGTTCTCTCGCATCTCCCTCATAGTTAGTGAGCAGAGCTTGGGCTGAAATTTTTCTGGATTTATTATCGGGGTGTGTCGGAATAGCTCGCGCGCGCTGCTGGAGGCACACGATAGTAGGGGTTGACCGTCAATGTATTGTTGCCGATAATGTTCTAAGTCCTAGATATCTGGTAGATCTGGCCCTAATATAAGCTGGATCCTGCTGACTAACGTACAGGTGGCATTGTCGCTTGGATACGTACGAATGCGTGCAAATCTCTATTCCAACAGGGTGATATATTTCAATGATGAACTCAAAACTGAGTGTTCAAATTTTGATATAAGTTCTAATAGGCTTTGGCCTAGCACTTGTGAAAGTCATTGTTAGCCGTAAGTAGCTATGTTTGCTGGCTAAACCCACCGCGCAGCTTGAGAGAAATGAAACGATGGAGCAGAAGATAATTGAATCATGATCCTTTGGTTTTATTTAGATAAGAGATGCCGGGCGGTGTACTCGGCAAGTCTTATGGGAGAGGCTAGACTACAATCATCCTGCTATACGCCATTTTCTGTTCGCTAATTTTTACATTATTGAGTCCTAAGGTCGGAGTTCAAAACAATTCGCTATTTCTTCCACGAGACGTCCTCGGCTGGACTACGAAGCCTAACATTATTACACACCATATATCTCCCATCAGCTTATTTGAGACTATCCGTCTCTGACATAGTCTAAAAGAACACAATTTTGAGCGCACTCTCGCTGTCAATGCAGCTGCTGAGAAAATGAGTTCCCAGCCTCAATTAGATTGAGCAGTTGCACACAGATTGTATTATTCATTCAACAGAATAATGTAAGCCCAAAGTACTAGATAAATCATATGTTGACCTTTCTCCGTTTTTCCGAGCACACGCAACTGTTTTCTGTGTGGTTCAATCCGTGGCAGTGACTGTTATTATCCAACTTAGCTTGCGTAATTACCTTCCCTGTCGTCTTTATTCGGCCAACGTCAGACCAACTCCCAAGTGTTCCATCGAAGACCCGCGAGAAATCGTTGCCTTAGCGTACTGATCCGCCATGTCGGGTTCAGCCGTTCATATGTAGGGTCATCCGATATTAGAGATAACTTGTGAGCCACTTCATCGAACTATAACCCTCTATTATTAGCGCCGGCTGCCCTCTCAAAAGTTTTCAGCTTACCTGCGGCAATAGATCGGCTACATTAGGCAAGCTTAGGCCCTAGAGACTTCTAAAGTTTAGACTCTGCCAAAATTGGTCTGTTATGCTTGGCCCACAACTTTTCCATCTCGGAGCCTGTGGGAGGGGGTACGATGCCATCAATTTTCCAAAACTCCCGGGGGCCTTCCAGAACATAATACTCCCAACCCATCCCCTTTTGAGTCATCCTTGGAGTAAGAATGTTGTCAACCGAATTGATGAACGCCTTTCTTGCTTTCATCGGGTGGTTTTGCACGTTCTGGGCGACGTGAATGATTGAGATCATTGTGAACTTGGGATGGGGCTTAGCTCCATACCACATGTCGTTCTCCGAGAGAGGAATGAATTGAACATTGACATAGAAAGCAGGCAAGCCGGCATCGGTGTAAAGCTTAGTAATTGCCTCGGCCAAGTCCTTCTTCTCTTCGGCAGTAAAGGCGCCTGCAGAGTGACTAAAAGTCCAAAGAGGCATGGTTATGGTGCGGTAGTGCAATATAAGCTCTGTGACGATGGTGAAGGAGCTAACCGGAAATACGTGCTTGTTAAATGCTGTAAGTGGCTATTCAGGAGAACGTGGGCCGGCCCCAGGCTAAGTACTCAAGAAATCAACCTTTTTTCTATGTGTTACTCTGTTGCCCAAACAGTCAATACACCACAATAAACCCTCATGATTCATTACTAATCCTTGAGATTTAAACAGTCGGAAGGTTCTATATCGCCACGGCCCAGAGTTTCCATGAATACTAATCCCCAATACTTGGACATCCACCACTACTGTGATCAGTAAAACATCGGTATGGACTGCCGGGGTTCTATGACACCTGCAGGCAACGAAATCCGGTTCCATACTGGCTCCGTTTCTCCGTCTCCTTTCCTATATCAACCAAGATTTCAAGTAGGGTTACATAGGTCAGTCAAGCCGATTGTGGGTCGTCATCGTGGACTATCACCGCGGCTCTATGTGATCACTAATACAAGCTACCGAGGCGCTTGAGGATTCGTATTGAAGATTGGCACATTCTATTCATGCTATGATGGTCCGTGTGGGTTTTAAACCTCGCACCCGGTTTCAAAATGGAGAGCAAGGACTGCTTCAAGAATCCGAATGTTACTGTCACATATGAGCCAAGTGATGCTGTGTAATGATCCGTATCGAATTTGGTTAGGGGCATGATTGACCACTGCAACATGTTTTACGACACGAGGTCAAAATCAGGCTCCAGGGCGATCCAAGGTACACTAGATGTCGCTAACTCATGAGCACAGCTTAGAATCAAATATTCAGCCTCGGATTAGAGATAGCCCCCCCCCCCCCCCCCCCCCCCCCCCCCCCCCCCCCCCCCCCCCCCCCCCCCCCCCCCCCCCCACGAAACCACACAAGCGCATCACAACATGATTCGTGGAATAACCGACTCAAGTATCTCACCGCTGACTATAACAAAGTTCGAAGCGGTACGCGGGCATAAAACAACATTCCGACAGCCCCACGTCTTGCGGCAGGCCTCTCATTCTCTTTCGTGGCTGGCCGCACACCCCCATAGACGAATGTAATCAACAACATGAAAGAGAGAGCCCCATCCTAACCCAACGAACGACTGAGTGAAACCTAGCTGATTAACTAACGCCAGGCGACTGGGTCCTTTTCGCGGTACATATCAACACCAATCAATGCCTTCGGCGTCTCTGCTGGTTTCGGATTGGTCTCCTCTCTGTGCTGGATCTTTACAGCAAAGTCAAAGTACGCGAACCTGACCTAGGCACACATTATGCAGTCCATCGCCCAATGCAGATTTATGCCTGTCCTCAAAGTGTACTCTGTCATTTCCCAAAAAGGGATTACATAACATTGCTGGTCCGCTATATTTGGACACTACTCTGCTTCTCGCTGTTCACTGACAATGAACTGAACGGAAACGGGTTGGAGATTACCCATCGATTATATCTTATTTCATCTCACTTGTTCAGCTACAGAAAAAGAAGCCTGAATGATCGCCGTGGTAGAGAGAGGCCGATTCAATGCCACGGAAGTGCTGGTGGAAAACGTTGATCTACTTTCTTAGCAGGCTGGTCGACCCAATCCATCGTAAGCCGCAACTTGTTCTTGGCAAATGCTGTGTTTGCCAAACTGGCCGTATCCAGCGCGCCACGATTGAATATCTGGATATCACTGGCAATACCGAAGGGTATCGATATATCTCAGGCCCTGTTTGTACTTTGATCGTGAGTCATTCCCACCGAGTCCCTGTTTGACCAAGACCCTGCACTGCTAGAAAGGCGTCCGCCAGCATGATTGTTCGGATACGCATGAATTCTTCACGTGTTTCGCTAGAAGACTTTATCTAGAGACCTTTTGCAGCATCCTCCATAACGTTCGTGATGCCAAGTTTTATCACGGCTTTCCTCCCAAGCATCCCTGTTCCATGGTCTATCAGCCGTGTATGAAAGAGCAAGGTTGGTGGGCTGGGTTGCTAAACCCCGATCCGATGCCCACACATGTCCACGAAGGCTGCCACATGAACCACTACCGTATGAAACACAAGGAAGACGAGTAAGGTAAGCCAGACCCATCGCACCATGCTAAGTTGTTGCTGGGCCGAGACGGTGCTAGTGACGAACTCGTCCAGAGCAACCAGTGACATGTTTTGCTACTGCTTTCCCGGTATGTTGATGCTATCTTGTCGTATTGATGTTATCATGTACTGTGTCATAGTATACTGCCCATATCATATCATAGGCTTTGTAGAACAGGATCTATATCATCAAGGCCGAGGGACTACTCGACTGTCCAATACCCACCTCGCCGTCAGGGACTTCGAGCCAGCTATAAAGGCCCTTAAAGAAGCCACTAAGGAAGACATAGCTGTTCTTCTTGTTTAGTAACGGGTCTTTGGAAAGTGATCTCCACATGAAATGAGACACAGGCTTCTTAGATGCATTCCAGAATTGGTTACTAATGCCATCCGGATGCAACGGGTTTTCTGAGAGAGTATGCTCCTGTAATAGTTCTTCACACCCCTTCAGTAAAATTAGCCTGAGCTTTTGTACCAACTTGCTGAACTCTCATCTGAGAGTAATGAGTAAGATAACTTTCATTCAAACAGTCGGCCTGGCTGTCCGATTGCTTGTGGATGCATGGGAAAACCCCGTTAATAGCGCTTGCTCCTCTACTACTTTTCTCCATATCGAGGGAAACTAGTCTACTAAGCTCCAGTGACGTTGATGGGGATAGATCGATCTGTACTTTGGATATTTCCCTCGTACCACGTCTGTCCTGGATTCACTGTATGTAAAATCTGGCACCTATCAGTGCTGCAAATCTTTTGGCGGTCTAGACGCTTGAACTTGGGACCACGAGGCCCTGCGACATAGTGGTACTGGCTAAAAAGACGCCATTGACGGACATCAGCCAGACTATAGAGCTTGTCGCCCCAGTTGCCAGCATAATGAAACCAACTGGTTGGCGCAGTCGGATTTTCAACGGTTGGGATGAGACTGTCTGATGTGTTCTGGCATAGCCCATTGGTGCCACCAATCTTACTATCCACATCATGGTAGTGATGCATTTCCGCATCTTTTTCATACTTATACCAGTACGAATAGGTATTTTTAGCTGGATCCCAAAGAGGGCCGCGGTCGGTGACATCCTTCAGCATGTTGAAGGGCAAAACATAGGGATGATCCCCAGGGTTGGCGTACATGGCGTGGGAGCCAACTGCAGAGTATATAACAGGTCGGATGTCACGCTTCTCAACGGCATGAAAATCATAGGCCTGACCGCCTGAATGTTCGGAGAGGAAGATACCGCCTGGTTTACCATTCTCAAACCGAATCATGCAGTGTTCCCAATCACCCACGTGGTTGCCAAATCGAATACCCAGGACCGTTTGGCCGAGGTTGTAGGAGTAGAAAAAAAACCAAAAAGCATCAACAATACCGGAACCTTTATCGACAAGAATAAGAACGGACGGCGCTTCAGAGAATCCATCCTGCCGGGGTCTATGTGCTGGTGTATTTGTGATAGACTTCTGGTATTGGTCGCCATCTGTGGGCTTGTTGTATGGTTCGGATGGTGGAAGTCTTAGGAGGCGGTGAGAATCAGCAAGACTGCCGGAATGCTGTTTATGGGAAATATCAGATGCAGCTTTGTCATCCTCAGAAGACTGGGTCGGGGTAAGGTCTTTAGCTGATTCTTCTTCAACACTGTCCTCATTGCTGTCCCATGGTCCAGGGATACCGACGTGGCTATGAAGCCATTCCGGTCTGGATTCAACGTTGTCCTTGCTTGTCAAGTAGACATGTCCGCGCTCCTTGTTCAGTAGGTGCAGGTTGGAGAGGGATATCGACCGGTTCAATGCCTTTTCTTCGAGATGTGGCGTCATGTGCAGTATATGCTCTGCAATATCTGCCGGCCAGAAGTTCTCGTTTGAGTGGAGATGAACAAGTGGCGCATACTCCAAAACATATTGCGGGATAGCTTTTTGTATGTTCCTCCTCTCCGACTTGCAATCTCGTGGTGACGGCCTTGTGAAAGCTGTTTCCCAGCTAGTTTGTCCTCTCTCGGCTGTGTGCAGTGACCGTAGCTCGTTGCCGATGTAAGATTTTCCACTACCACCGTTTTGGACCTGTGGTGGCAGCGTAGCTGGGTCCCACGCTAGATGGTGAACACCACACAAGTTCAACCAGCGGCAGGACTGGCGGTCGAGCCAGTGTGGACTGCTGTTGATCCATTGTTTGTCCTTGAGCAGCTTCTTTGGGTTTGTTGGATTCGGGTCGAGGTAGCGTGGCAAGAACGATGTCAGAGACCAGAAGACTAGAATGAAGATGGAAAAGGGGACGACGATGTATCGTAGTGGCCAATAAAGTGGACGAAGACTAACGGTGCGCAAGGCTCTGTGAAAGTAAAGACGCAAGGAAGACCAAGACTTAAGGGCAGAGGAGCAGCAGCTGAGAGCTATGTGTCGAAAACCGTCAAACCTAATAAGAGCCTTGGGTCGGTACCATCGCCTACTAGCATCAGCCATCGTGATTGTAGTTTTGAAGGCGTCGGAAAAAGTAGGATTGTGTGGAGTCAACTGCTGAGGGGACGAAGTTAGGCTATATGTAGTGTTTCCATACCAAAAGCTTATATTAGCCGGCCGCTTGCCTGTGGATTATGATGGGTTTTCAGACACACGGGCCCTATGTCAGTGGTCTGAAACTACCCTGAGTCAGTTCAACGTTCTTCTGTTAACGTGGAGGCACCAATCCACATAGGTGTAAGCCTCCGATGAACAGGCGTTAGCCTTGACGGTGAGAAGAGCTGTTTGCGGATTTGTGACCGGATCCCGAGGGTTGCCACATCCTCGTTTTTCGTCTGTCCGTCTCATCCGACATGATGACACAGCTGATTTAGGTTTTTCGATGCTGTGAGTTTCACCAATTAGAGGCAGCATCCAGAGCTGGTCGTCATGTTCGGCGATACTTGTTCAACCACCAAGTGGGTTTTCTAGAATGGTAGGATCGGATGGTGAGTAGTAATATGGACGGCACATGAACCTTAAAAAGTCCCTCAAAGAACCCTGTACAGGGCGAGTTCGTCATTGTTCACAGATATGGCACCCTTCCATGTATTGTCTCGTAGGTCGACACCTGCATGGATGCATTTTCCGAGTACACGAATTTGGGCATCGCACCAAAACTGATACATCCTCGTCCCAAAGTGAACAGTGAGTACCGTCAGACAGCCAGCCATCTTCTCTCTCAAAGGACGAAGCCACTGGCCCAATGAGCACCTCGGACTGGTGTTGCCTCAACAATATCCCTCAGCAGAACATTACCACGATTGTAGAGAACTATAAATAGATTCAGTTTGAAGGATTTGACTTAAACCCTAAAATGGTCATCCCTCGTCGCTGGTCGGTTCAGGAGCAGCCATCGTGAAATATTGGGATATTCCCATTTAACTTGCTGCCGTTATATCCGACCTTAGTCAACCCTCCTCTTCTAGAACTTTGATTCATTGTAGCTAGGGCAGCCGGCCGGCCTTCGCAGCAAAGTCACCTCCCAACTAGCTTGCAGGCGACCCAAAGTGGCCGCGAAATTGCAGTCTAGGTCAAAAAGGGGGAAATGAGTAAAAGCTGACGAAGAGTGGGTGAGAATTCATGTGATCAAATACAAGCTGTCAGTTACTTTAAGCCGCCTGGGATACTTCTGCAGACACCGAGGCACTTCAAGCCGACGTGGGTGACTGCAGTATCAAAATAGAGATTGGTCAACAACAGATAGGCGTTCATTTCGTCGGGCGCCAAACTTTCTCCTTTCACCTCCTATGTATAGGAAACGGTATAAAGTGCTAGGGAAAATAAGTCATTATTGGCCGGAGTCCGCAAGTCCCGAACAGGAAAGAAAAGGTCAAGCTTTGTCTAGTGTGTAATCCGGGTTCCGCGGGATTAAAACCGAAGCCGACATTTCGAAAGCTCGAGCGTCAATGTGTCGCGATCCTAGTCGCGATCCTTGTAATCGGCTAACTTATTCCTTAAATAGCTTGGTTCCAGGGAAGTCCTTCTCTCTAATGTTTAGATACTCGGTGTTGGATCACGTATCGCCTTGGGCAAGCCGAGGCCGAACTCCACTCCGTTCACCTATGCCAGCCTTGCCACATCATGATCATCGAACAAGTCCCAGAAGACTGATGAAATCTTGATTTTTACTCTAATTTTATGGCTTGTTAGCTTATCGCGATGGTTTAATCTCAGCAAAAGGTGCGGAAAATGATGCAAAATCCGCACCAACTTGTACCTCTATCCTAATTCCTGACCCCATCGCAGATGGTCCTCATGATCCAGCAAAGCACAAGATCCGTAGTACTTCATTTTTGACGATGTGAATACTGTGATATCTTGATTGAGATTCCATTGTTGATTTGGCATGCGCCTCGACATAGACACAGCTGTAGAATTTCGTGTTCGATGCTTTGGTGTTTAATATCAACTCAAAAACATTTACAGTCGACTTTGATAGCCACCCGATTATTCAGCTATCCTGCACTCGACTTATTAGCCAGTGGCTCTTATGATCGTTATTGAGTATTACATAGATGTCAACAATTTATCCGTAAGCTCTATTCATATATGGCTTCAAATGTCTTGACGCAGGTGATTCATTCCTCGAAACGATGAGGATTTGCTCTTGCAGTTTCTTATTCTCTCCTCTCCGTTTACTTGCTGTGTGCATCTTGCCCAAGAACGTATGTTGCAAACGGCATCCCTGTACTTGAAAGCGCACGACAACAAGAACAAGTTGCTAGCTCTCACAAAACCCACCCCACGATTGCCAGGTCGCCTCACCTCGGTATCCACCTTGGCGAGCTGAAATTAGACTAGCTAACTGTCAGACAACTGTGGTGTGTGCATTGCTCTATATCACACACTTTTGGATCTATGCAAGGTTGTGCCACATCAGTGTCTACGTACCCTGGTCACCATCGGAGTGGCCACATGCTTCTTTTTATACCTCAGTAGTACAAAAATGTTCTTCTACCTGACAAGCTATTCCCACGCCCATGTATCGCTGGCCGCCGCTCTGGTACCAACGCTGCACACCGAGAGCCGGCCCTCCGAACTCCTCATGTGGGGCTCTATGGGTTCAATCGGCTTGGCCGGCTAAGGCGAAGGCTCAACTGTCAATCAAACCCATATTCGGGTCCTGTGATGAACTAGGCAACATCATAAGCCATAAAACCTTGAGAAGGAGCCTACTTGAAATTTATGATCCCAACGCTACAAGTTCATATATTGTCACGATGAATCTAGCCCATTCCACTCACGTATGACGCATGTGAAGGTGCCTTTATATAACATTTCAAGTTATACCGATAACGCCGACGATATCCCATTTGTTGCGTGACCGATCGTCTTATTCAAACAGTCCTTTCTTTTTCCCTTTTTTGGCAACATGCTAAAAACACTGCTACACGCTCGATTCTGGCGCACTCGTCATTTTTTATTCTCTGTTGGCATCTTCGCTCTCATCACCATCTGGTGGTCTTGGCGACTTCTTTTCTATACTACATGGACACTCGTCTCTCTTCCATTCACTTGGGACCATGACGAAAGCGAATTCTTGATCTCCGACAAGGTCGATAAATTCGATGTTACCTTTGCCAACTACAGCAAGATGCAGGAGACTGCCGGGCCTTCTTACGAAGACAAGATCCCGCCCATCCTCCATCATATTATCTTAGGGAATCCGACGGCGGCGACAAAATGGCAACACGTGCGTCAAAGCTGTCTGGACATGCATCCCGGCTGGGAGACACACTTATGGACCGATGCCAAGGCTAGCCAGTTCATTGCCGATAAGTTCCCCGAGCTTAAAGAAATGTGGGATGGTTATCCGTATCCCGTCCAAAGAGTCGATGCACTCAGGTATCTTATTCTTCTTGAATATGGCGGTACGTACACTTTTAGTGATTAAGGATGTTACAGTCTTCGAAAGACGATGGCTTCGCTGGCCAATGCTTAATACTAGCGATGTTCATCTGGAGGAAGGCGGCGATACATGATGCTGACAAGTGATCAAAGGAGCTGTGTTAGACATGGACTTGAGATGTCGTCGGGCTTTGGGTCCATTAAGGCGATTTGACTTCGTTGCTCCGGCTGCACATCCTATAGGATTTTCAAACGGTTTCATGATGGCGAGCAAAGATAACGAGTTCATCAAAGAGATCATACTGAACTTAAAGACGTACAACCGATGGTGGTTTGGATTGGCATATCCAACAGTTATGTTCAGCACCGGATGCCATTTTGCTTCGTAAGCCTTCTGTGGTCCAAGAAAACTACCAAAGGCGGTTGATTGTTTCATCCCGGTTTTACCAACTGACTCTGTATACAGTACTATACATGCTCTTCAGCGTAACAGGACCACGCTTAAGATACTAAAAGGCCCCAAAGGCAACCCAAAACTTCACCACCTAAATGGTGCAGTCACAACGCCTTTGTTCGAACACCTCGGAAGCTCATCATGGCACTCCTTCGACGCCGCATTTATAGTGTCGCTGGGTCATCTCACCATGCACCAGATTATCATATTGTTGTTTGGTGGCATCTCTATCATACTACTGTGCAGACGGCTGTGCGTCTGGCGCAAACTCAGGTCTCATTGGCTCCGGAATAGGAACAGCATGAAAATCTCTAGTGTATAAAGATATAAATGAGCCAGTAATTTGGCCACTTATTTCCATTTTGAATACCGTGATGAGGATTTTGGAATAGCGACTACCAATAGAAGACCATTGACCAGAGCTTTCAGGCCTATAGTGAATGATCTTCGCCGATTGCAGTGAATATCTTTGGAGTGGACAAGCCATACCCTAAACAATGGCGACTCTTCATCTCTGCCTCTGCAACGGTACCATTTAGATGAAATCGACGTAGACACGCAGAGATATGTAGAGTGACAAAAATTGAAGTGATGCTCGTCCCTACGCCAACCCTCTCCTCTCATTGAGACTGTCAGGGATGCTCTGGGCAATTAGTTTGATAGACCCAGCGATATTGATGACTAATATTAGCCCAGAGGGTAATGCAGCCACCATCAGGGATAAGAGAAACCTTGCTGGCACGGCAAACGGAGCTCGGGGATTTTGGATTGCGAAACCCCATATATAACGATAACACACGAGATCATACGGCATTTGCATTCCGAAAGAACGGGGGGCTCTTTGTTAGTGTCAAGACCTCGATGCTTAGAGTATCAATGGGTCCTAGAAACGGAACCCGCGGTAGCCGCATATCTTCTGAGGATTCCCGGTCATCCGAAGACCGATCTGAACAAGAATTATACCCACTCGCGCTTGGGTCGATTCGTACGTCTGATCTTGCACAGGAATTTTACTTCTCTAAGGCCGCAGCGTCACAGCAGACGGAAAAGTTGCCAAGGTGCTCAAACCTCGACAAACATCGTTTCTCTTTGTTGTTTCGTCTATGGCAAACAGAATGCGGGAATCACAACAGATGCAGATAGCAGCAGGCATCGTCCTCACCTTGGTTTGCTTTCTTATAACTCCATCATCAAACGACATAATCAACTAATTCAATCCCTGACAGCTCACAACCCAAAATGCAGCATCTCTCATGGTAAGCTTTCACCATTGCGTCCACCGTTCGTTTCCTTATGAGATCAGTTGCAGCACAAGTTACAGAACACACCACACCCCGAAGATCCTAAATACGATCCGCTTACTGCTGTGGTTTTTTCAGAAGTTCTCAAATTGGTTATTTCATCTATAGGACTTCTCTGGACTCATACCAACGAACCTACTCCAAACCCCAAATTCGCATCTGGGCTACTACTATCAATTCATCGAGGCCACCACAGTCTCATCATTCCTGCCACTCTATATACCGTCGCGGCCGCCAGCCAAGCCATTGGTGCACGCAATTTGTCCCTGCTGCCCTACCTGATGCTGACGCAAATTAAACTCATACTGACGCCCATATTCGGTATCATCTTGCTGAAACAGATGATGAGTCGACTTCAATGGTGCTACCTGGTCATCATGACTACTGGAGTCCTTTTTGTACAACTTAGCTCGGTCGCCACTTCCTTGAGGGCGACCACCACGTTACAAGGTCAAGACATAGCTCTTGGAACCATGGCAATGGTCGCATCAGGCATCTGTGTCGCCTTCTCTGGTGTTTATATGGAGGCATGCTTCAAAGCTAAAAGCAGTTTTCTAGCCAACAATGCATACCTGGCAGGATATAGTTGTGTGCTTGCTCTGCTTGGTATAATTTTGCGGCCTGGAACGGGTTTCAAAAACTTCTTTGAAGGATACACCGCGTTTGTCTGGATATTGGTGGTTTTGCAGGCCATCGGAGGATTCCTTGTTTCGTGGTGCGTTCGTATCACCAGCACAGTCGCCAAGAATTACGCTCAGAGCTTGGGGTTTCTTATCGCATCTATCAGTCCACTGCTCTCATCTTCTGGGACTATGGAATACTCAGTAGGTTCCTACATTTAGATGCGGTTAAAAACTATGCTGATGGTGATACGAGTTCTATTATGGAGTGCTCTTTGTGCTCTGGGGAGTTTTCGGATCACTTTGGGCTGCCAGTAAAGAGAAAATGCATGGTAGTAAGCAAGATCAGAAGGAGTGGCAGGATCGAATTGTATGATCAATTTGACGCCGCAACTGACGCGAGCATAAATAAACTAATTCTCTACAAATAGAAGGCTGTTCAACCGGTTTCTTCTTTGGACAATTCTCTCCATGCATCTTGATGCTGCTCCAGCGAGCTCTTCTGCTGTATCTTAGCTAGACCCCTCCATATAGGGTGGCTGACCCTGAACTGTGGCTGACCGAATAAAACACTGAGTGATTGGGAAGCGTAAATAGCATGCAAGGATCCCATTCTAAGCAACGTCTTAAGTAGAGCATTTATTATTACTACCGCCTTTCTGTCTCTTCCACCTTCGAACTGCCTTGAATGTCGCAAGCAGATCGGGCTGGTCATTCCATTTGTGAGCTGTAACATAACTCTAAGTACATGAGGGCGGACGTCAAGCAGTATCGGGTAAACCAATTATTCCGCCATCCACTTCCGCGCCTGCCGAAGTTCGTATATTAGTAACAACTTCCCTCCCACTTCTGCTTGTTCTTGATTAACATCACACAGTCAATCTGTTAGTTATGTCACGGAAGACTGCCAGCCAAATCATTCCCAGATCCTGCCGTTGGCTTGTAGCCACACGTAGCCGTCGCCGGATCATTATCCGTATTCTTATTGTCTTGCTGCTGGGCCCTGTTCTCTTACAATGGGCTCTAGCATATCTTTTGGGTGGCGATGCACGGCTGCTTCCACATGAGCTGCAACATGCTCACAGCATCTTGTTCGTGACGGCGCATCCCGACGATGAGTGCCTCTTTTTCGCACCAAGCATTCTAGGTGTGCTGGAGAGGGATCATAACATTAGGGGTGGACTGTTAGTTATGTCTGTTGGTGGGTAATAAGCATGTTGAAAGAAATGGGGTACGGTACTGGGCTAACCAAATGCATCATCTTTATCACAGGTAACAACTACGGGATAGGCGAGAAGCGGAAACAGGAACTGAAAGGATCATGCGACGCTCTCGGAATCGATCCGTCAAGATGTGTGGCGTTGGACCACCCTAAGCTTCAGGACAACCCTACAGTTTGGTGGGATACGGCTCTTATCCAGTCCATCCTAGAAGATTATGTCCGCAAGTGGGACGTTAGCGCTGTGAGCCTGATGCACCTAGGTGTTTCCTCCCATTGGGCAAACATTGACTTATTTAAGATTGTCACATTTGATGAGAATGGCGTCTCTGGGCACATTAATCATCGCGCAGTAAGCGCTGCTGTAAAGTACGTGCATTTTCATGGGTGTTCTTTTGACTATTCAATGCCGCAAACCCCCGCTTACGGTTATGGCTGTTTCTAGGGAGTATGTTACGAGTGAGAGCACCGCCCCGGTTGCTTATAAGCTCGTCACCACAACAGTTCTCAGAAAATACACGTTTCTGTTTGATCTTCCACTCACTGCACTGAAATTCACTTACCGGATTATTGCTGCCCTGTTCTTTCCTTCCAAAATCACGGACCCAGGTTACAGGGGCAAGGCACTGATAGCCAACACGTGGCGACGATATATTGAGACGCGCGACGCTTTTGCAAGTCATAGCAGCCAGTACACGTGGGATCGCTATCTATATATGATCTTGAGTAGATATGTATGGTTTAACGACTTAGAGAGGATGACGGGTCGACAAATTTCGACCCCATAGCGATAAATAAGGCAGTCAGAGCTTGCTGCTTTTCTTGTGATTATAGTATCCGGCATCTAACAAACAAATTCAGAGTTCAAGCCACTTTCCACCTGGCTCAGGCATAATTTCTTTCAGATAGTGTGAAGTTATTCTTCATAAAGGTCCACAGCGGTGACTCGATAATCAATGCAGTGCAGCCTGAAGCCAGCCTGAAGCCAACTTGAAACACGGGTGCCCTGTACTCTCTGTAAGTCAAAGCACCCACTTTTCGGCCACCCCTGCTTTTCGGCCACCCGAAAATGCCGCCCAGCCACCCATTTTCTAGATGCCCTCCAACTTCTAACTATCACAACATTTTCTATTCTTCATCAAATCGCTTTATTTTTCTAGCATCTACTCTTTATAGTCTAATGGTCCAGTATACCGAATTTGAAGTCAATCGAGCGCTTGCCGATATTGCAGATGGGGTATCTGCTCGCGATGCCTCTAAGCGATGGGGGGTACCACGATTAATACTGCAAAGTCGATTAAAGGGCAGCCAACCTAGAGCAGCAGCATTTGAAGACCTCCAAAGGCTCTCTATTAGTCAGGAGGCTAAGCTGGCAAGCTGGGTGCAAATACAGGCTGACCTCGGGCTTGCGCCAACGCATCAGCAAGTCAGAGAATTTGCCCAGCGTATCCTGAATGCGATGGGCGATACCTAGCCTCTAGGAAAGAGATGGTTAGATGCCTTTATACGAAGAAACCCATCTATCAAGGTCCAGAGAAGTCGATCTATTAATTCTAGACGTGTTAATGGGGCATCTACTGAGATTATCAGGGACTGGTTCAGATATCTCGCAATCCCAGCAATATCAGCCATCTAACCAGCCAACAGATACAACATGGATAAGACTGGTATCCTTGAGGGCCAAGGCGCAAATGGGCTAGTGCTAGGCAGGGCAGAGACCAAGTCTATACGGAAAAAGCAGCCTGGATCGCGAGCCTGGGTATCTATTATCGAGTGTATCTCAGCTGAGGGCCTGGCACTACATCCTCTTGTGATATATAAGGGCAAGACAGTCCAGCAGCAGTGGTTTCCTCTAGATCTTGGCCCATATGATGGATGGGAGTTTACAGCAACAGAGAATGGATGGACAACTGATGAGACTGCTGTTGAGTGGCTGCTGAAGGTCTTCTTGCCGCAGACTGCCCCCTCCCAGCCTGATCAGGCCAGACTGCTGGTCCTGGATGGGCATGGGAGCCATACAACGACAGAGTTTATGTGGCAATGCTATATTAATAACGTCCATCTGTTATTCTTACCGCCACATACCTCCCATGTCCTTCAGCCACTAGATCAGTCAGTCTTCAGCCCAGTTAAGGCAGCCTATCGTAATAGGCTCCAGCCTAACCTCAACCAATGGAACGATTCAACTATAGTAGGCAAAAGACACTTCCTATCTTATTATCAGCTAGCGCGCCTAGCTGGGCTGACGAAAAAGAACATTCTAAGTGGCTAGAAATATACTGGACTATAGCCTATTTCTACAACTAGACCTCTTTTGAGCTCTTTGCTGCTACCCAAGGCAACAGCACCATCAACACCACATAACAAGGCTACCCAGGATATCCAGGGTATCCAGGTTACTCAGGGTATAGATAGATAGGCATCTGCTGTATCTGCTGTTGCGTGGTCTACGCCTAAGAAGATACGGGATCTCAACAGTCAACTAGACTTATTCAACAAGATGGATCAAAGTATCGCCACACAACGCCAACTATTCAGAAAGGTCAAAAAAGGCTTCCAAGAGCAGTCCTTCCAGCTAGCTACTGCCCAGCACCAAATACAGCTTCTCCAGGCCCAAGTTAGCAATACTGCAACAAGGAAGAGGAAGACTGTCAAAATCGACCCTAATACTAAGTTCGCTAACATCAGCGATATACGGCAAGCCCAGATCGAGGCTGGCGAAGTTGAAATGGATACAGATGAATCCAGCGCATCTGATTGCCCTAGCGAAGCAGAAAGCTGTATCATAGTTGCATCTGGGCCTCGGCGATAGTTAATTGAAATAGGTGGTTGTGTTGCGATAGCCTCGTTTTTGGGTGGCCGAAAAGCAGGGGTGGCCGAAAAGTGGGTGCTTTGACTTAGTATACCAGCCACGAACAGTTCAGCTTTATCTGAGAAAATAGCAAATGCATGATGACCCTCAGGTGGTTAATGGCTAAGGCAACTAAACTGAAATAGAACATCGAAGAACTGATCAGCTACATGTAACCCGATAACCATTATCACAGGACGCGTGGAAGTTCGGTATTTCTGTGTGAATCTACAGTGTCTGGTCTCCAAAGATGCAGCTTAATTAGTGGATAGGTCTTGTATTTTGGCCACAAGAAGATAAAAGAAGAAGCAAAATACCGGCGGCTAACCTTTCGTCTTGTCAGGTCCTATCGTATACGCTCTGAATAGCCTTGCTAGCATTACCTCGGCTACGCACCATGTTGCCTGACTTGATAAAAAGGGCTAATCTGAAGCGATGCGACGTAATGACGGCCCCGCCTGTCGGCGCAAAAATAGGTCCATGCCTCGTTGCGTGTCTTCCCTGTCCCCCGTTGACTGCCATTCCGCAGACCCGGTCTCCTACCTGCACTGACAACTAGCTCTGTAACATTCTTCGAGGAGACTCCGCATCTGTAATTGCGGACAAAAATTTGATCACGTATCTTTGATGTTTGATTGACGCCATTTGCAAAGAACATGCGTGTTTGAAGCTACCACATTAAGAAACCTAGGCAAACTGCACCGGGCCGGTAGCCTAAATTTCGGATATAGCGGCTCACCGCCAAATTTGTGGGCAGATCTCTCGCACAATGTTTTTTCGATACCTCTTAAGAATCTTGACTCCTCAGTGGCTTTCCGGGCAATGCCGCGGACTTTGACTTGCAACACCATTACCTGTCGCAAATTTGGCAAATCGTTTCTGCCCACTATTCAACATGTTGACAAACATTGATGAAGAAGAGAACCTCGCTCGAATGCAAAAAGGCGAGCTATACTATGCCTTCTCTCCTCAACTCGTCGCAGCACGTCGCCGTTGTAGCCAGGCTGTGGGCAGACTCAATAGAGCTGGAGACTTGACACGCAGAGAGATAGCCGAGCACTGGAAAGAGCAAGTCACAAACCCTAGGATTTCTGCTCGCTTGGGTGCTTGAGGTGGTTCATAAGGTTGTGAGCTGACAAATCTACAACCAGCATCACAAACAGCGACCAATCCCTGCCCGCCCCTGGGGCGACGGAAGATGAAGAAGACGCCATTCTGCATGCGTACCCTTGGATAGAGCGCCCGATTAACATTGACTACGGGTACAACATCAAGGTCGGCAGCAACGTCTTCATCAATTTCAACTGCACGTTCATCGACACCTGCACCATTTCTATTGGAGCTCGGACTCTTGTGGGGCCTAACGTGTCTTTTTTGAGCGGAACCCATCCACTCGACGGACATATTCGCAATGGAACCAGTGGCCCAGAATTGGGCAAGCCAATTTCAGTAGGTGAAGACTGTTGGCTGGCGGCAGGTGCTACGATTCTGCCCGGAGTGACTATTGGCAAGGGATGTACCGTCGGGGCGAGCAGTGTTGTCACGAAGGTAGGCAACCAAAAAATCAAATCTATGTCTTAACTCAACCACCCTGCTTCCCACGCAACCCCGCATACCACGCAGCCCCAAACCCCCATCAATATCACCATACCCATCAACAACATCCATTATTCCTCATCCCTACCACCTACCCAGATGCAACTTTCTGCTTCACTAGATAATTCAGATCCACTGGATTCACTTGTGCTACTCTCTGCTTCGCCAGCAGCAATTTGCGCCCGTCGGATATCCTCGATATTAGCGAACGTCGTGTTAGGGTCCGTCTGGACCCTTTTTCTCCTGCCTTGTTGCTGACTATCCGTCTGGGCCTGGAATGCCTGGGCCTGACGCTCTAGGACTGTCAGTCTATAGGCCTGTTGGTCCCAGCCTTTTTGGACCTTTCTAAATAGGTGGCGTTGGGTGTAGATTTCTCGGGTATCTTGCGTAAGCTGGTTGAATAGGTGCAGCTGACGCTGAAGATCAGCAGACTTACGCGGGGTTGACCATGGGACTATAGATACAGCTCCATCCCACTGCTGACTTCCTGACTGCCCAGCTGTCTGGCCGTCTAGCTGTCTGGCTGGCTGGCTGGCTGATGCCTTAGACACGAAAGGGCTAGATAGAGGTTGCGCTACATCAACTGGCCATAACCCAGTGTGTTTCCAGCCGCTTTTAATAACCTGGATAGTCAAGGCGTCTAGACGTGCCCTTCTATAACAGTCTATAAAGTTCCTCTTGCCTGTTACAGTTGAATCGCTTTGTATATCTAGGTACCCTAGATACTTCCTATAGGCTGCCTTAAGAGGTCGGAATACTGACTGATCTAGAGGCTGGAGGACGTGTGATGTGTGCGGCGGCAGAAACAGGAGGTGTATGTGGTTCCGGAAGCATCGCCACAGAAAGTCTGTTGTTGTATGGCTATGATGGGCGTCTAGAACTAGTAGTCTAGTATCTGAAGGGTCCTCTGGGACAGTCTGAGGGATAAAGACCTTTTCTAGCCATTCTAGGGCATTCTGATCAGTTGTCCAGCCGTTCTCTGTTGCTGTGAATTTCCA